TGAAAAACACAATAAAGCGTTAAGCACCGTGACATCGGTTTAAAATAAAAAAAAAAAAAAAAAAAAAAAAAAAAAAAGACTAGCTCAAGCTTTATTAGAAGAAGAAAATCCTAGCCAAATAACAAAATTATTAATAGAACAAAATAATAACCAATATAATTGTAATTAGACTACCAATAAAATTGATATTCTTCTTCGAACAAACTAACAAGCAACTTTAACTAAAGAGGAAGAAGCTACTCTACAAAGAATTTTGCAAGAATTATTTAATATTTCACAACCTAACTTTGATTCTTAAAAAATTTACATAAAAACTTTAAAGACAAAGTAGCACTTTGCTTAAAGTGTTTTCATGCCAAACAAACTAAAAAGTTAGATATAAACCAAGAACTTTGTAATAAGTATTATTAGGAGCTAAATAAATTAACACTCTTAGAAAATATAGAACCAGAAGCCTCTACTTCTGATACTTTAATGAAAAATAAAAAGGAAATTAAATCAATGACTAGAAGAAAAAAAAAAAAAAAGAAGCAAATCCAGAAACCCAACAAGAAATTATTAAGTATCTAGAAGCATGTATTCAATATCTAGAAGAAATGAATGAACAATTAACAAACTTCTTTAAAGAACAAATCTTATACTATCAAGAATAAGCTAAATATTATTTTAAACTATACTCTCAATAAAATTTTTAAACTATTCTAAGCATGATGAAAAACTACCTAAAGACTTAGAAGAATTACTAACAAAAGAACAAGCCTTGCAGCTGGCTCTGCAAAAGAATGCAATTAAATATAACTTTGTATATACTATTTTTTTTTTTTTTTTTTGGTATTAAGGTGAGGCCTTGCTCATATCTTTATTAGATAATTTATATAAGTAATTACATAGAAACTATATAAAAACTAGATTTGTATAATAACAAGTATTTATAAATTACATGCAAGAATGGGAGCTCAGACTAAAAGCTAAAGCTAATTATCTGTGACCTAAACCTACTAGAGTGGTCAAGACTTACCTAGGTTTTAATAGTTAGTATGTGATTTGTAGGAATGCTGAATTGTATCCATACTGTTAACTATTTATTGAATTTGTGTTGTGCCTAAGAGCTAATACTTTATTTGTAAGATTAAATTCTACAAAAAGATTATTAATTGCAGTTGCTATATTTACTCCTGTATAACGTACAGTAAAAGGAATAATATCTAATAGGAATCGATGAAATTTCCAATCTTGATCGACATAGTGAATAGTAATTCCAAGAAATGCTTGGTTATTTATAGTTGATGACCACATATCTGCTGTTAAAGAAACTTTTCCAGAAATTTCAGATAAAACATTAGTTATTTTAGTTCTTTGTTCATTGAAATAGCTTATAACCATATCTTTGACTTGATGACGATTAGGAACTTTGTATCGTGGATCTAAGATATCTATCATTTTAATAAATTTTTTATTTTTAACAACACGAAATGATTGCTAGTCCAAAATTATCCAACTAATTAAAGCTATATCATGTTCTTTTTTTTGCTTTTCAGGCCATGGATCTTTACGGGTAAATGCTAGTTTTGATTGAGTTTTTATTCGCGGAATTATAATATTATGTTGGCTTTTTAAATGATCTTCCAAAGTTGAATTTCCAGATCTTTCTGAAAATTTAACTTTATATTTAAAACAAATTGGGTTATTTGGTTTTTTTACAGTAAAAAAAAAAATGCTGCCACAAAGGTGATGGCTTGTTTGATAAAATTATATTTGTTTCTTGTATTGAGAGTGATGCGGCATTGGTTTCTAATATTGAAGTATTTGGTTCTAATATTGACGTTGGTGAACTGGTATTTATTTCTAACGTTGAAGATGGTGAACTAGTATTTATTTCTAATGGTGAAGATAGTAGTTCACTGTATAAAGTATAATCATTATAACTATAATCATCACCATAATATTCATAATCTTCATAACCTTTATAACCTTCATAATCATAATTAGAATCTTGTTTAGAATTTATATTTAATGATATGATATTGAGTTGTTCTCAATTTGACCTTTATAATGTATATATATACGTATAAGACCTCTTTAAGTGCACTCTTATTGAGTATACAATTTCTTTAAACATGCTTTAAATTCTGGACTAAACATATTCTTGACCTTATAGATACATATCTTATTGTTCTTTAAATGCATATGATCTTTACATTGTGTATTAGAGAGGTCTAACCATATATACCAATATTGAAAAACAATTGTGCTATATGCCGTAAGAATTGATTTATAATTACAATGAATATTGGGTGCATACCGGGAGACAAGTTTCCTGTCATATACCCGATAGTTTGCTGAATATCAGCAGCATATTGGCAGCATATAGATCAATATCAGTAACATAATAGCACAATATTAGGATCTTATATCTTACTCTTAGCACTCTGGGCCTAAAAGATATTGGGATATACTATTTTGCTAATATCAATTTATCTCTCGATATCTTACCAATATGCTGCCAATATGCTGCTGATATTTAGCAGGTATTTGGCAGATCTATAGCAGACTATCAGGTATATAACAGGAAACCTGTCTTCCAGTATGCACCCGATATTCAGTATGAATGCCTTTTTCATAGTCAATTCAATTTTTCAAGAACCTACTCAAAAGATAAGCAAAACAATTGAATATTGAGTAAATGAACATTGTGCATGCGTTTAGCTTTGAGTAATTGCCAAGATAATTACGATTGACAAAAGAATCAGTTTTTTTTATGTAACAAAGAATAGATAATTACAAAGCTCACGTACCTAATCGTACTGATATAGATTTTTTATTTTGTAAATTTCTTTAAATTAAGAACAAGAAAGTATACTGATAGAAATTATATATAGTATCTATGAATTTTATCATTAGTATATATGCCAAAAGCTAAAAGATAGAATGTGCAGAATAGCCAAATAATAATTTATCTTTTCGCTACCACAATTTATAGAAATAAGCTAACCTTATTATCTCTTTATTGTATAATGATAACAATAATGTAAAATCCAAGTAATGGTATGTAGTATTGTCGTTATTTAGTACTCGCTTCTATATTTGTATTAGTTAAACACATATTAGATATACGGTAGCTAGTAGCTACATATGTATGTACATGAGTATATAGTATATTAACGTTAAATAAAAACTTTGGTATTAAAA